TATGCATAATCATCAAAACATTCGGTATCATGCTCAGCGCATGCGCAGCTATTTTTACAGTATCAGCAGTTTTCTGAAACAACGGATTTGAATCGCTGTGCAACTGTACAGTTGTGTGTGAATATTCAACGTAGAAGTTTGAAAGGAGAGCATAGCAATGGCCTGCAGTAATTCAGATTCGGCAGCAATTATTCATTACGAGGGTTTCATCGGAATCCACGGTACATTCGTTCCAAAAGAAGTGGCGGTGACCTCCACATCCTTCGACATGATAGGACATTGGGTAATTTGTCCTGAATACCAGTATTCTGCGATTCCACCTAATATTCAGAGGATGAACAATCAACTTACAATCACACGTCACGGTATAGATTGGTATGAAGGAGAAGCATCTTCTAAATATGTCTATGCAGTATTACGAGCCGTTACCAAAGGAATAAAATACGTGTATACCTATGGTTGTGAGCAAACGAAATTCACTGCTGCCCTTCTTACCCGAGATGTTACCAATTTGAAGAGCCACATCAGATCGCCACTATTCCCTTGTACACCAGTAGCTGTTCCATCATTCTTCATACATAGTACATTGAATCACAGAACCTTTATATGTGCTATGCGCCGAGTCCTTCAAATCAAAGCGTGGTTGACTTCGAACGAGGAAGGATTAAAAAGTTTATTCAAAGAGAAATTTCCTGCTGATGAACACAGTACAGATTCTAGAAGCCCTACAGTATATACCGAATCATACAGTCGGTGTATATCCAGCGGACAAGATCCCATCGGCGTGGACGAAACCGACTGCAATAGTAGCGAACACACATGACCACACCCAACCGGGAGAACACTGGATCGCCATGTACGTTGATCGAAATGGTAGAGGATGGTACTTCGACAGCTTCGGACTACCTCCCATCGTGCCCCAGCACGCTGCAAGGCTCCGAAAGAACTGTAAACTCTTCAGGTGCAGCATCCAGCAGCTCCAGCATCATGAGTCGAGTGTATGTGGACAATACTGTGTACTTATTCTGCATTGTATGGCTATGTTTGCTACTCCTGAGAAGTTCTATTCGTTATTCACCGATCGATTCATATCTAAT